AAAGCAATCCTTTCCAACACACCTTTCCCATCATCATCCAGTCACATCCATGGTCCCCTACTTGATCAACAGGAATTAACAGCTTGGTTGGCCCCACAGGGAAGTAATGTGAATGTTATCTGACATTGAACAGCATTCAAGCTACTGTCTTCTTTGTTTTTGAAACAAAGCTTTTGTTTTGTCTGTTAACATTAAGCAGCAGTCTTCTAGTTAACTGAACGATAAACTTCAACATAGCAAAGTAACTATCATCATGTGACATTTGCATGCTATTAAAGCACTCCTTGATTCCATGCAGCACAGAGCTGTTTTTCAGGCATCAGTGCTCAAAGCAATGTCCTTTGCCTTTGGTTTTTCAAAAAACAGAACCAGCCTGGAACTCACCCTGTGTAAACCTTAAAAACATAGAAAATAAATCCAGTTAAAAGGCTTTAAAAACTTTAGTTTCTTCACAGTTCCTAGTCAATCTTCTCATTCCTTCTCCCATGTTGCAATGATTTTATTTTTGACTACTAACATAACATGTGGAACCATTGTTTTGCAACCATTGTTCCTGGCTAAGTTCTACCCCGTGATTTTAAACACAATTTTACTAGCTTGGCCACTTCATTTCATTTAACAGAAATGAAAAAGAAAGCATCCTGTATAGCATGGAAGTCTATATCAGCATGTTGAATATCCATCTGTCTTGTTTGCTTTACTAGAGGCAGAGTTGTTTTGCTGATGACCAGGACAACATGCCAATGAGTCATGAGATGACCTCTTCTTCTACCATCAATAGGAACCATATCCTGTGAGTTTTGAGTTTGTATGGGTTGCACCAACAGTGCCACAACATTTTATGCTCCCCTTCACTAAGCTTTTAGGGAACTTCTTTAAAAAGAAGAATGCTAAGGAAGGGAACAATGAAAGTTGCCTTGAAACATGTTTCTCTGTCCTCATAGTCCAGCAATTTGCAACATTTGGCCCTTATTTTACACTTCAGCTTCTATAAATCCCAGTCACCATGTTTAATGACCAGAGATTACAGGAACTGGGAGATAAATTAGAAAAATCTGGAAGGCCATAGATTGAGGAGTACTGTCATTTTCTGGTCTCTAGAATTACCTGGTGGTTGGACAGTGTCACCAAAGCTACCAACGTGAATTTGACCAAACTCTGGGAGGCAATGGAAGACAGGAGGGCCTGGCGTGCTGTGGTACATGGGGTCACGAAGAGTCGGGCACGACTTAATGATTAAACAACTAGAATTACCTTTCCTTTCTAAATGCCCTTTAGATGTTTTAGTCTAAACTCTCATGCTGCTTGAGGTGGTTAGGAATTGTAATCCAACACAACCAAAATGTAGTCTAGTGCAGGGGTTCTCAACCCTCAGTCTGTGGCCCAGTACCGGCCCATGGCCTTGGCAGGACCAGGCCACAGAGACAGATATCCTGGTCCACATGCACGCACGCCCCCACCACACGCAAACAATGTTCTACTGTATATACAAAGTGTTTCTTTGTCTTTTAGGAATCATAGAATAATGGAACTGAAAGGCCCTCAAGTCCAACCCCTTGCTCACTGCAGGAATCCAGGATAAAGTGCATCCGACAGATGGCCAGCTAACTTTCTCTTGAATGTTTTTAGTGTTGGAGAGCTCATCACATTCCAATGTAATTGGTTCCATTGTCGTACTGCTCTAACAGTTAGGAATTATTTTCCAGATATTCAACCAAAATCCAGCCTCTTGTAAGTTGAGTCCATTATTACATGCCCACCACTTTTGGATGATTGGGAACATATCCTGCCCCTCCCCTGTATGACAGTCTTTCAAGTATTTGAAAAGTACTCTCTTATCTCTCCTCTGTCTTCTTCTCTCGGCGCTAAACATGCCCAGTTCTTTCAGTCTTTCCTCTAGAGCTTGGTTTCCAGTCTCCTAATCATCCCTGTTGCCCTCCTCTAAATGTGTTCCAGTTTATCTGGATCCTTCTTGCAGTGCAATGTCGAGAGCTGGATCAGAGGAAAGGACTGAAAATATTCAGAAACTAAATTTTCAAGAGAGTATTTGTTTCCAGCACTATTGGAAGGGATACTACTGAAGACACCTCTTTATTCAGTAGATTCAACAAGCCTCCCAGGAAGACCAAATGTATATCTGACTTGATAGCAGTGTGCAGGGAATCCTTCAGAATCCTTTCTTTTTCTGTGCAGCTTTGCAGTCATGCAGAAACATACTAGAGCTACTCTGATACTGCATTTGCACTATTAACTATTGCAATTCACATCAGTCTGTGCTTTGCTTACACAGCAATTGAGACTGCAGCATGAATATGCCTTCTTTCTGAAGCAGAAAAAGTGCCAAGAGTGACCCCAGAAAGTGATGGGTATGTTATACTGTAGCTGACCATATATGTTATAGGAAACAGGGTTGAGGGGCAGCCCTGTATTAAAGTATTTATAGTTCCAAGCATGTCAACAGTCACTTTTACTATAAATCAGCCTTCATTGGACAGAAAAAATGTGGCTGTAACCCTAGGCATCTGTGAGTCCCACTGAATTCAGTATGAATTAATGAAACATTGCCCTGCAAGTGTGTTAAATCTGCTCTCTATTCCAATCCAGATAGAATCCAGGCTTGGTTCCACCCCACCCCACTCCAACAGGATGTCAGGACTGGCAAGGATTACCACATTCCAATCTACGTACGCCCAACAGAAGGGAAACTCATGGAATTAAACACTTCAATAAGGTATTATTCATCAGGAAACCACAAGCTGCCGTTTTGCTTTAACATGGGTCTCCTCCAAACAAAACGCTTCCTGAAGCGCAGCTTGGAAAGGCCTTCCCATTAAGTGATTATTTGGGGATTTTCAAACTTTCCTTCAAAGCTGCAATAGACCTTTTGATTGAAATGACAAATGGATCTTCCTTTTAGACAAACTCATTACATAGCACACTATGCACTAAAAGCCCAGGATGCTATTATGCAACATAGCAGCAGGAGAGAGTAATCCTGATTAAGTATATGGTTGCAGGGGAGGGGGAAATAACATGCTGATCATTCAACACATGGGATGACCGCAATGGTATCTTATGTGGCATGACAAAGGTAGGAGTCTAGATGGGTTGCATTTCACAGAATTAAGCCATATTGTACCTTGAGAGGTGTATCATTACTCATTCCAACATGAAAAAGGCAACTACTTCCCATCTTTCCCGTAACAATATGCCTTGGAAAATCCCTGCTGCAACATCTTGCTCTTATCCTAAATTGCTTCCCTAACCTTAATACAAGACAGTAGTACAATGACATTGAGTCATATAGACTGCAAGCAATTTCTACTCTAGTCAATTCACACTGAGGAAACAAGAGATGGCAACCTTATTCTCATTCATAGAATAATTGAGTTGGAAGGGGTCTCTTAAGGTCATCAAGTCCAACCCCCAACTCACTGCAGGAATCTGAATCAAAGCAGATCTGACAGTTGGTTGTGCAGTTTTCTCCTGAATGCCTCCAGTGTTGGAGCACTTCCCGAGGTAATTGATTCCACTGTTGTACTGCTTTTAACAGGTTTCTCCTGATATGCAGCCTAAATCTGGCTTCCTGTAACTTGAGCCCATTATTACGTGTCCTGCACTCTGAGATGATCAAGAACACATCCTGCTCCTCCTATGTATAACTTCCTTTCAAGTAATTGAAAAGTGTTATAATATCTCCCTTTAGGCTTCTCTAGGCTAAACATGCCCAGTTATTACAGTTTTTCCTTATAGGGCTTGGCTTCTAGTCCCCTGAAATTCCTATTTCTGCAACACACAATTTGCACTTTAAAAACTTTGGTTTTCAACCACTGGCCCTCCACCTGTTTGGGCTGTGGAGTGGCCAACATTTGGACCTTGAACTGTTGCTGAATTGCAATTCTCATAATCCCTCACAATTGACAAGATGATGATCTTTCCTGTGACAGCCCAGGATATGGATGGCTACAACATTCTCACCCTGGTTCGAAGCATCATGATGATGGAGCAGCCTTGTCAGATCTAGGCAGATCTGCAGTACCTGGATGGGAAAAATCTTTTGGCCTGGCATTTTACTTACAATTAGCCACACTTTGTGTGGTAGGCAGCAGAGCCACTCTGGGAAAAGGAAAGGCAGCTTCAAAGGAGTTAACACTTGTTTGCACTAAGGGAAGAATTTTACAGCATCATGAACATAACGTTTACAGCTGTTAAGATGAAATGTGTGTGAGTATAAAAAGCTATGATATGCCCATCTTTCAGGCTCAAAGTTTTGAAAAGCAACATCAGCCAGGATCTCAAGAGTGCTCTCCGATGGTTATTCTTAGACCCCAGAACCTCCCTTTGTGAGTGATTTTAAACTCCTGAAATACGTGGCATTCTGTGTTTTTACCCACTGCGCTAAAATGTTCTACTGCAGGAATGTTGAATTGTTTTAAAGGCTATTTATCTCGTTTTGCTGTTCTTATTTGGCTGCTTCCAGGAAGTTTTGCAAATGTCATTTTTATTTCACATAGCGTATTGTTTGCCACCTCCAGCCTTTAAAAATGAAAAGCAGAGCATTTAAGATTTAAATAAATAAATAGCCAAAATGTTTGACAGCAGCTGGCAGCACACATGCCAAGGAGGATTCTTAAATGTTTGGGTTTTTTTAAAGGATGCAAAAGGACATAGTGCAGCAGGACAAACGAAAGGGACGTAACAACTTGTATACTTGGTAACTAAAGTGCTGCATTCCTGCCAGTGTCAACCCGATCTGGATCTGGAGCCAGAAGGGTACAGCAGTCAGTACTACTCTTGTGAGGGCTGAGGGACTCCCAATGAAATACTTGTTCATGGGCCACTCACTACCATGCCAGATGTACTTCTTACAGGTACAAAGGATACCTTGATAGGAGTAGGAGTAGGAGCGGGGATGCAGTGTGATATGAAAAGCCCATGCATATCGTCCAGACTTAATTTGGAGAAGTGGCATCAAGAAATAATTCTCAACAAGACTCAAGTCTCATCTAAAATACTCTTTAATATGTTTTCTTCCATGATCTAATATACAAATGCAAAGGTAGTAAAGAATTCCTCCTATGCAAACTTGGGTGAAATATATCAAAGTCAACTTTTTGTATTTTATTTAAAAAATCCTCAATGGCAACCTGGAAAAGAAGAAATTTTAAAATATTATTAAAGTGTAATACCAAGATACTCATAAGCAGCAACAGCAAAGAGAACACCAGTCTATATAGGGATCAAGGTAAAACAATTTATAGCATTACAGTGGACCCTTGACTTACAGACGGCTTGACTTACAGACTTTTTGAGTTACAGACTTCTCTGGCCGCAAAATTTAGGTTTGACTTGCAGACTGAGATTTGACTTACAGACCAGAAAAAAACCAAAATGGAACAAAAACGGCCTGTTACGGGATTAATCGGTTTTCAATGCCCTGTAGGTCAATGGAGACTTAACTTACAGACTTTTTGACTTGAGACCCGCCTTCCAATACAGATTAAGTTCTCAAGTCAAGACCCCACTGTAATGAATGTACAAGTGTCAGAAGTAAAAATGCAACTAATCCATATTTCTATGACATGTGCATTTTTCAAAATGGTTGTTTGGGAACACTCTGCAGGATAAGCAGAATATGGATCTCAGAGACTGCTCTCTGCTCTCAGATGGCTACATTCAGACTGATACTCCCTTCTGAATGGTGTTAAGCTTGGTGTTATTTGATTTCTATGTCTAAATCTAGAAATCCTTATTTTCATGAAAGGCTCTAGAGCAGTGGCCCCCAACCTTTTCTGAACTGCGGACCAGTGGGGGTCTGTGTGCGGCGGGACATACCCTCCACACTCACGGAAGGGTGGGGCATGCTTGTGCACATGCGTGTTGCATGCATGCGCAGAGGGCGGGGTGTGCTCATGGAGGACATGCTCATGTGCCTGCATAGAGGGTAGGGATGTGCTTATGGAGGGTAGGGGCATCTGTGCGTGCAGGGGGGGCAGGACATCTGTCTCCATGGCCCCGTCCTGTCATGGCCACGGACTGGCACCGGGCCATGGACCGGGGCTTGCGGACCCCTGCTCTAGAGCACACTGAAGCATCATTCAAACTATAGGCAGCATGGTGGTCTTTCATCCAGAGTGGTCTTATAGACCAGATGGGTGGGGTACAAATCAAATAAATAAATAAAAATAAATTAATTAATTAAATAATTCACAGGGTGCCACTTCCCTGATCTAAGTTATTTTTATAGAATGAAAATGTAGTAGGCCTACTTACTGTACAAAGAAAAGCAGGGAATGCTTTAACAGGAACATTCTTCCGGAAGGACCTAGCCTGTAGTGAGAGAGGTAGAAAGCATTTGAATGTCATAAAATGTCAAAACACTGAACATAATACATTGTGAAGATTTCTCATGAGGTGGGATCTGCCAAGTCCAAATACATTGCCAAAGCAAATAAGATTTTTCATGCATGTCAGATCAAGAGCCTGGCAACAGATGGGGAAAACTCTACATATTATTTGGAAACATCCCGTACAACTCTTGGGTTTGTTAGTAGCCACCAATTAGCAGAAATATGGTCAATATGCAAATTATTCCCCTAGCAGCATAATCACACAATTTTTCATATCATACCATCACCATAACTTAATTCTAATCAGTTCACTATCAACATATATTAGCACTGCAGTTGCAAATCCAGACATAGAATAATGAGGCAAACTGATCTGGGAATCATTACAGCCACTAGCTCACATTTTTAAATATTGCAGCTAGACGCAGAAGGAAATTTAAATCTATAATTAATATTGTAGGCCACCAGAAAAAGAAGGGGGGAATCCACAAAACTGCCCTACTCTTGAGCCCTAAAATAGATAGATGAGTTATGTATATTTTGGAGTTTCACCTCTCAAAGTGGAAAGATGTTTGTTTCACAGAGTTACGGTAGCCCAAAAGGAAGTACAAATGCATTAAATAATGCTGTCAGACTCCTGGATGAACAAGTAGTAAACTGGTGGTAATTAAGGTACTCACAGCTGCTGCTTGCTACTCACAACATCACTCTAATACATGCATTTATCCAAAGTGACTAGACCTCTACTTCTTCTCCTAGCTACCTATCCTACTGAACTGACAGAGGCAGTTACTCTAAGGAACCAGAGAAATCCCACAGGAACATTGCAACTGCATGTTTTCATCACTGCCCTGGTAATGTTAGAGAATATACAGCCTTTAGAGATCTACACTGATTTTTTTGTGATGACCAGAACATTACTCCTCCAACTGTACAGGAGTCAAGTATGTGGAGACGCATGGAAAAGTGGCACCTGCATATTTCTCTACTTATCTGAAATAAGTATTTTGGCACCCTGTGGAAGACAAATGCAGGTGAAGTACCATTCCCATAATCTCTCCTCTTCAAAATTATAATTACCAAGACTAGCAACTTCCTTGGTTTCTTAGAATTCCTTTAAAAGACAAGTACTCCAAACAATAGGAATATTAATAGATGGAAGCTCAAAGCTGGTGAGTCACAAGTGTTATTTTTACATTATCATCATAAGGACAAGCCCCTGCGCCAAGGAGCTGAGAGTCTAAAATTAGGCTTGGGAAAGGCAACAGTCAAGAGAGGAGGAAAACTGGAAGAAAGAAGATGGAGAGGAAGCCTAGTTGTTGAGAGGCTCTGTTAACTATGAACCCGAAACCCTGGAATCTCCTTAAAATCTTTTGCAACCCTCTGTAAGGTTTTGCAGAGCAAACCCTGCATCTTGTGTTGTCCACCCCCTAAAACAGTGTAACTCATAAATCAAATAAGGGTTTCTTGCTAACACCAAAAAAATAAGCATTGCCCTTCTCACTCCAAGCCTCTGTTGAAGCTTTGCAGTGGTTTTCCATTGCCAACCCTGCCTTGCAGCAACCCCTCAAACTGGCATACAACAGGTAGTGGGGCTACTGGATACTCCGGATACTTCAAAACCAACATTGACTTTTCACTGTACATCAACACCATTTTAGTAGCTTTTCATATTTTGGACATGTCCACATGGGCTGCTGGGTAAATGCGGTACAACACCCTGTGGATCATACTGCAATCACGTGGTCTGGGGACAAGGGATTTACATCTATTAAGGCCGAACAGTCATCCTTTTCAAAGGCTGAGGCTACAATAAAAAAAATAAAACAATGAAGGTGAATTTATTTCAAATAAGAAAGGTGCTGCCTGTCTAGTTACTGCTTTGCAGAGTCTAGAGTAGCCATTCTCAACCTTTTTTGGCCACAGACCTTTTAGGAGCTCTTCTCAAATGCTGAAAGAATCTTGGAGTTGTAGCCCAACTTTCCATAGTATCACCCAAGAGGATCAAGTTGGTTAGCTGATGCCCCAGCCAGTGTTATCCCAGTAGCCCACATTAAGTGGGGCCTCTGAAGAGACTAACTAGGAGATCTGGATCTGAATTATCTCAGTCAGGTCTTCTTGAGTGGGCAACCCTACAATAGCATGAAAAGGAAACAGAAAAGGAGGACACTGGGGGTTTGCTGAAACTGTTCTAGCCATCCATCCAAGATACAAATATATGACTGACAGATGTGCCAAGCATAAAACTGCAGCCATGGCTGGAGGTGCTCACTAGTGGCTGCTTTAGGGGTGAATAGAGGATGTTGCCATTCAGGAGGCCAGCTGGGATAAAGGTTATGCCTGGAGGTGTCCACGTTCTTTTCCTATCGATGGGTATCCACCTACTGATGGGGCTTTCTCAATAACCCAACCTTCAAATCATTAGATGCTTCTTAGCAGGAATGCTTGTATTGAAGGAATTTACCCATTTAGTAATGTGAATTACAGTATGTATCAGAAGTGGGGCACATGACAAAATATTTTTAGTGCAATGGACATAGACTTTGAATTGTGTTCCTCCACTGAACAGGGGACTGAACTCAATGGCCTTATAGACTCTTTCCAACTCCGTTACTCTATGTTCTATGAAATAATTTAGTGTATACCATGCAGCACCTCATTACTGTCTCCCACTTCCGCCTTCCTCTCATTCAAGCTCCCTTTCCCCATTCACATTTGTATCTCTCTTCACCCTCCCAACCTCTAATCTTTTAATTATCCTGTTGTACCATATTTAGCCACTCACCTCTCATTTCTAGATTTCTATCCCCTTGTTTGTGTTTTCAAAGACTGCTCTTAAATTAGATCACATTATTTTTCTACCTTGATGCTGACTTTATTTTGGTTTTCTACTCTGTAGTGTCTTCATTTTGCCACAGGTTTTCATCTTTAATTCTGTGCTGCTTCTCCTTGTTTATGCTCTATGTTTTATATTATTTTTCTTACACTTTCTAGATAACTTTTTTAATCAGGCAGTTTAAAGTGTGATAAAATACTTTTTTGTTGTTGGTTAATTTTCCAGATTGATTTTTAAAAAAATCTTTGAAATTATATTATAATAAGTTGTTACTGGATGGTTTGGATTTTAAAAAAAAATAAAATTTGGAAGGAAAAGCAGGAATGAATAGCGCATTCATAAGCATTCGGTGAAGTGAAATGTTGTACTATCAAACATTTCACTTCATAAAGTCATGATGGTAAAGGTACAATAAGCACGAGATGTACAGAAGCAAAATCATGTCATGATTTTCAAAATTAATACACTTTGGCCACAATCTTGTTTAATGTAGTAAATCACACTATAGCAGGCTCAATGAGTCAACTCCTTCATAAGTTATATTGATTCAAATGGGCCTACTCTAACTGCAACTTACTTTAGTATTATAAATCACAGCTGGGGTAGGCCCATTTGAATAAATGGAATTTACAGAGGAGTTGACTCACCAAATCCCAATTAATTAAGTGGGCCTACTCTAGTGTGATTTACTACGCTAAGCAACACAATTTTGGCCATTATGAGAAAAAAATAAAAATCGCCATCTGAGGGGAAATAACAGTGTTTGTTGGGATCAGCCCCAGAATTCTGAGAATATGAAATGACAAGGAAATTTGAATCATTAGAGAGGAAGGAGGCTTTACTTTGCCCTCTGCTGACCATAAAAAACCCTTGTCTATGACAGCAACTTCAAACTTCAGAGCTGTCCATCAGTTTTCCTGTGTAAATAATTTTAGTTTACAATAACCAATAATTGCAGCCATCATCTGTTGGTGTATTGACTTAGAAACCAGTTTCCTCTTTGTGACTGATCCTACCAAGCTCACCCATTGCAAACCATTTTTACAAGTAATAGGTTTAAAATACACATATTCTTAGTTTTAAAATCAGGGAAATACCTAGCTATCTAGGGGACAGAATGGGATTAGAATTAGAAAAGGCACCAGTTCATTCAGCATTTGGTGAGAAAGAAGTTTTTGCTCAACATAGTAATCAGAAGCAGAGCGCTTTGCAAAGAAAGACACTGGATGCTCAACAGAAAGTAACAGCTGAGTCTGCTTGCACTACATCACATTACCATATAAACAGCCCACTTCCAAGTCACAAGAGAAAAGGAAACAGATAAGGTTATGCCTATCAATTCAGGACATGTTAAATACAGTACCAGAGTATTGATTATAGTCCATTCTTTTTGTACTGTGACTCTGGGCTTCTGAAGGTAGAAGCTCTGGCAGATTCTTCTACCAATCCGTAAAGGCTTCAAGTATGGCCCCAGCAGCACACCGCATGCCCATCAACCAAAGATCTGCTTTGCCAAGAACAGAAAGAGCCTTATAATGAAAAGATTAGCCACCAGGCAATGAATAGGCTACAGCAGCCTTGAACACAACAGTGTAAGTAGCTGCAAGCTGCACTGACAAAATTCCTACATTGATGGAATCACAGATCACTGAGGTACCAAAATGACAGTGTTTAATTTCACTCATAATCTCCATCTAAGCAATCACAATATTCCTTAAGTAATATGTGCATGGGCTAGGCTTCCATGCATGCAAGCAATTGAGCAACTGCAATGACACCTCTCCCCCCATTTCTGAGTTCAAAATTTTGTCAACTGCATTCCTAAATGGTTTGCCTAGTGCACTGGTCCCTATGTTCTAGAGCAGGGATCCTGTACCGGTCTGTGGCCTGGGCCAGACCGCAGATACAGATCTCCCCCCCAACCCGCATGGCATTCCCCCACCCACAGCCCCTTTGTGCATGTGTGCAAGTGCGTGCTCCCACCCCTTCGCACATGCATGCAAGTGCCCCTGAGTGCCCCTGCCCACCCACGTGAGCACCCCTGCTCCTTCATGCATGTGAGTGCACGCGCACGCACGCACGCAAGCATGCACATGCCCCTTCACGCATGCGCGGCTTTGTGATTCCTTAGAACTCACAACAGCTCTGTTAGGTAGGACTCTTAAATCAGGGATCCCCAACCTCCAGGCTGTGGATTTCGCCAGACTGGGCTGTGGAGACAGATCTCCCATCCCCCGGGCTGTGGAGATAGATCTCCCATCCCCCGCACGCACTCCCCCTGCATCCCCACCCACAGCCCCTTTGTGCATGTGTGCGAGTGCGTGCTCCCACCCCTTTGCACATGCATGCAAGTGCCCCCGAGCGCCCCTGCCCTTACGTAAGTGTGTGCCCCCAACCGCGTGAGCACCCCTGCTCTTTTGTGCATGCGAGCGAGCGCGCACCCACGCAAGCATGTGTACGCCCCTTCACGCATGCGCAGGAGCACGGGGTGTCCTGCCTTCCCCAACCGCGGTTTTCAAAAGGTTGGGGACCACTGCTCTAGAGGAATCTGAGACCGGAGGTCCAAAAAAGTAATTTTCCCAGGCTCAGGCCAGGAGTACCAGCAGAATTCTGAAGACTGCTGGCTTTGAAACTGGGGGGGGGGAACCTACAAAAGGCTATTCTGAAACTGAAGCACCCCACAAAGACAACTGGGCCAGGCTGGATCTAAAAAGAGAGGTAGGATGGGAAAAGATTGCATTCAGTACTGAAAAGGAGCTGGCACAGAAGCCAGTGGGCCGGGTGAAGGGAGAGACTAAAAGAGCTACTTTCCCCATTTCCCCTTATAATCTCACCACGTGGGAGATGGAGAACAGATACTGTAGAAACGTTTAAAGGAAAAGGTAATCCAGTGTTTTCAATGGGGCTGGGAAATAAAGACTTTGAGGGACCTCATAAGACTTTAAATAAGTGTTTTCCTCCATCACTTGGGAATCTGGAGAGAGACTGGGAACTGGACTGAGCTGCCCCTCCTCTTATGGCAAAACCAGGCATAAGCTAAATGCAAAGTTAAATCCATCTCTGAAGCTGCTATTTATACAAGTAAGAAAGCCACCGAGTAAAGAATAATTTCAGATTAATAATTTCCATCAGGACCACAGAAGAGAAAGACAAGGTTAATTCTCCTGTCATGTTGGCTGCAAGCTCAGTAACAGTCAATACCTTTCCCCCTTCAAATCTTCTATATGGCTGCAAGCTCAGTAACAGTCAATACCTTTTCCCCTTCACATCTTCTATATGCAGTACAGTGGTACTGCATATAGATTTATGACCATAATCCATTCCAGAAGATGGGTGTAACTTGAAATGGTCGTAAATCGAAGCACCATTTCCCATAGGAATGCATTGGAACCCCATTAATCCGTTCCAGCCGAAAATAATAATAATAATAAAAATCACAAAAAACACCCCCCCACACACACACAGCCAGCCACGTCAGAACATGATGGGGCTGGGAAAAAAATCACAAAAAACACGCCCCCATACAGCCAGCCCCACTGGAATGCGATGGGGTTGGAAACACACACACAGAACCAGCCCCATCAGAATGCGATGGAACTGGGGGGAAAACACACACCAAAAAACATCACAGCACAGAAACATAATCCCCCCAAAACCCAAACCCATCCTGCAAAACAAAGTAAATGTACTTACTCAGGAGCAGAAAGCAGCACCAGGCAGTCCCAAGCCTCCTCCGACTCACACTCTCTAACCGTTGGGGCGAAAGAGCTACAAAGAAGCTCTTTGCCGACCAATGGCTGGTACCTACACTTGAATTCCCTGCTTCTTTTCTGTTTGCAACTCAAAGCTCCGGTCACAAGGCGAAGCAAGATTTTGCAGCCGGAGCAGGTCGCAACTCAAAATGGTCGTCTGTCGGGATGTTTCTAAGTCGAGGCAACCCTGTACTTAAAATGTTCACCTTACATGTGAAGGTGTCTTTACAACACAATCCTCAGAAATTGACCCAACTGAGTTTAATAAGGTACAGTGGGGGTGGACAACATGTCACCCTCTGTGTAGTTCTTGTGACCCCCCCCCCAACAGTACCTCTGAGGTCTCTGCACTGCAAGCTGTTTGCTCACATAGTCATCTTGTGCCTTTCAGAGGGAAATTCTTCAATGTTTTGAGGGGCCCCAAACACCACTAGAGGCCCCCAGCCCGCCAAATTAAAAAAAAAACAAAAATGATAACTGGCCACTGAACAGAACAAGGCTGATTTTTACCTAAAATACCCTTCTCTCCTTTTTTCAGTTAAAAACTCAGTAGCAGATAACTAATGTATAAACACTTTTTTAAAAATTGAACATACTAAATCAACCTCTCTAGCCCTGCCTTCAAGGGTGTGCAGCCCTCAAATTGCTGGAAAAACTGAAAAACGGTCCTCAGCTTTCCTGCGGTTGCCCACTCTGAGGCACAGGATTTCACCTTTAATGCCCATCTCTGAAGGTGATGTCCAGTCTAGTTTATTTCTTATCCCTCCTACCATGGGTGAGGCAAACAATCTAACTAAAATTACTGTGTTCAAGTAGTCACAAGATTTCCCAGTTGCAGACTGGTTCTCTCCTGCAACCCCATTCAAACCACAAAAGACTGTTTTAAGGCCCACCCGTATCCTGGGCAATATTCCAGCAGCCCACAATCAAAGGCGCTGTCTCTACTGCAAAAACAACAAGAGACAGAAACAGCCAACGAAGGAAGTCACTTTGTAGCCGGAAAAAGTTGCAACGCAACTGTCACAGAGACTTCTGCAAAAACTTGAAACTCACGTGTTCCAGATGAACATGTGCCTGACTGGCAATGTCATATATGACATCTCGCACCTTCTTCTCCCGGTTACGTCTTAGGAAATCCTCTTGCGAAACATCATGCTAACATGCCAGGAAGGGGAAAACAGACAGACACACACCAGCAAGTTAGAAACGTTTCTGGTTACGGGGGGCTGTTGCTGTTCACTTGGCAGAGAAAAGAAGTTAAACATCCTTTTACCTCCTTTCCTGAAGCAATACAAAAACTGTCTCCATGGTTGAAACACTGAAGAACAACCCAAGATACTTTGCAAACTGAGGCAAAGAATAAGACTGCCTGACTCTCCGTCCACCAGCATTCCATAGGAGAAAGCCAATGACACAGACAGATTTAGAATCATTATTTACTTATACGGTATTTCTAGCCCAACCTATCTTGAGGGATTTTAGGGTGAGGTATAAACAAACAAAAACTACCCAACAACCTGAAAGACTGGAAACTAAGACATGATCTCACATAGTGTGGAATGCTCAGATAAATAACCAAGTTTCAGCCTGATGCTGCAGGAAAGGCTATGTCAGCTCCTGTTAGGCCTCCAAAGGGAGGGTGTAACTGGGGTGCCATCACCATGAAAACTCTTCTCCTGTTCCTTCCAGCGACAGGACACAGCCACTCTCAAGCAAGTCCATTTGGAGAAAACTGGCTGGACAGCTCAGTGAGACGGAGCACCCAACAGAGGAGTCAAAGGTCTGGAGTTTAATCCCCCACTCAGCTTTGCAGGAGAAGAGACCAACTATGTGGTCTTGGGCCAGCTAGGCAGTCCCACAGAGCCTCCAGAGAAACAAAATGGCAAAGTACTTCTGAGTATTCTGTGTCTGGAAAGGGTCGCCATAAGTCAGAATCCATGATTTTGTTATTTTTTAGCTGTTAAGTCGTGTCCAACTCATCGTGATCCCATGGACCAGAGCACGCCAGGCCTTGTGCCTTCCCAATGTGACTAGCAGCATAGTCTGTGTGGATGTCTTTGACTCAGGTTTTTGCAGGAGAGAATCCAGGATAGCACATAATTATTAAAATTAACACATGGAGAAAAGTTCTTCCTCCGATATCTAGGGGGGAAAGTGCTCTCTCAAATGCACTTTTAGTAGAAGGACAACAGAGAGGAATCAAACCTCTTGGCAGGGAGCCCCAGAGTCTGGAAACACTATCAGCAGAATCTACCTCCATGACAGCATCTCCTACCACATACAAAGGTAGCAGACCAGTTTATGGTAGGGCACAGAGCAAAACTATCACAAAAACATGCTGAGAGAGTTTTTTCACATATGCACCAACAAAACATAGGTCAATCAATGGAATGAGCATGTGTATCTGAACAGCCACATTCACCATGTGATTCCAGTATGACTTTGAACAAGCTGCTATCTGTGCAAGCTTTTCAACCCCCTTGGCATTCAGTTATCGCAAGGATCAGCCATGTACAAAGATAAGATTTATTCTGATGATTACGTTAAAAACTTTTAGATGTTTCCTGCTTCTTTGTCTTACTGCCAGAACACAGTCAGGCTATACAGCCAACACACAATTTCAATGAAAAAGCAATACTGGTGCCAGTGGAATGGATGCATTGTCCAAACACCATCAAAAACTTTATACTGAGAGTCTGAACTAAAATAGATGAGGAGACCCATAGACTGAAAATGGAGTTAAAGGTACAGTTCCGAAATAGAGCTACAAAACTTTCCTCCCCACCCCTGGGCTACAACTCTCAACATGCCCCAGCCAGCATTGCCACTGGTCATGTTAGCTGGAGATGCAAAGAGCTATACTATGCTGGCTGAGACAGTCTGGGAGTTTAGCCCCCCAAAATAACTTTTCCAAACTGTGGAACTGATACACAGCGATATCATCTTACCAGCATGCATATGTCCATGGGCAGAAAGACCAACCCTCTGCTGGCATGGTACGGGGTTGCTCTTAAGCAGGTTACAATGCCTTGCGCCTTCCCAATGTGACTGGCAGCGTGGTCTGCGTGGATGTCCTTGACTCCTGCGTTGGCAGACAAGGACAGGACATTTCGACACACTGTAATTATGTCGTTATTTCACTTGTGCTCAGAGATATACACTTTCTACCTAAAAAGAAACTTGAAGCATCAAATAATAAAATGCAGATTAACGACATAATCTTGATGAAAGCGGTACATAAAGACAAATACATTAAAAACATAACAAGAAAATACATCACCAGGCAAGATCTATTCTATGTCTGTGTAACATTAATCTCCACCCATGAAGCTATACTGCCTCTCGTGCAAACCATTTCACAATGGTCAACAACTTGCAGCCTGGGAGTTATGTGAGCATATTGACAAAACAGTACATGGGACACACTCAGCACCCAACCCGCTCGCTTGCAGATGGGTGTTCACATGGTTGCAGATGATATCACATGCCAAAGAAAGGCTTGAATAAAGCTTTCCTTCCAGACAGAAAGACAACAGAGAAGAAGCAAACGGAGCCTCTTTTGCCAGGACGTCCCAGACTCTGGAAGTGGTCTATTGCAAATATCTTCTCTCGTGAACCCTAAAGATAGCGGGAACTATAGAATGCCCTCCCCAAGAGAACATTAAAGCCACACAAGCTCATATGGGAGAATGTGGCCTTTTGAGTAAGTAGCCTGATTCCACATTACACGGGTCCTTATAGGCTCTGTGGATGATATTCTAAGCACATTACATCAGAATGCATCCTCAACTGAGCCCAGTGCTCGAAGAACTACTACAAACACAAGGGACATTAAAATGCTATTTGAATTTCCCATTATGTTGGTCTCATGTTGTTCATGTTGAGTCTCTTTCTTGGTTTCAGACATACAGCTTGAAAAAAAGAGAGGCAAATATATAGAGTGAGCTATATAGAGAGCTATATAGCTAGCT